CTTGCAATTTCTCTACATTGAGTATGGATTACTTTGGTAATTAAAATGGTAGGTTACACTAGACCTTCAAGTTACCATAGCGTCTCCGAAGCAAAGTCAGATGTCTGGTAACTTTGAAAGACAAAGAGTTAGGACTTTCCCAGCCCACCAGTCTCCTGGGAATAAGTCCTGATAATGATGAAGGTCTCTGGAGCAAGAGCATCAGAATCTCCGGTGGCAGGAATGCAGATTCCTACCCAGACCGTCTGGGCATGAGGTCTGGGAATATGCATTTTTGTAAGCTTTCCTGATGATATTGATGCGTATTTAGGCTTGAGAATCACTTTTCTGGGTAATTAGGGCCAATTCACTTAAAAGCTGTATGGTATGGGGTGATTTGTTTTATGGGTTGTTTTTCCCTCAGCTGTGTGCTGAGCAAGGATGGATAGTAACATATAGATTACCCTATTTCATCCTCCCAAGAGGCGAGTGTTACTATTCCCATTTTATTGATGATGTAAACTGAAGCTTGGAGTAGTGAACTGACTTGCCTATGGTCATGACAGCTATTCAGTGACAGACCAAGAATTTGAACCCAGGCTTGGGTTATAGAGAAATGCCTTTGAAATCAGTAACATTGACGGCAATGATGGTTATTTTTGCATCCTTCTTGAGTGCCAGACCTTATCCTCTGCAGCTCTAGTGCCTAAAATAACACGGATATATAGCCATACAAGACAGACCTGGCTTCTGTCCTGTGGGAGTGTTCATGTACCAGCTTTCCAGCTAGATTGTACTTTTAAAATCCAGAGTCCTGAGTCTTACCCCAGAATGATGCTTATTCATAGGGCTGAGTTGGGGCCAAAAAAAAAAAAAAGTTTCCCAGTGGTTCTAAGTCTGGGGGCCATGGAGAAACTACCATTCAAAAACAGCACAAAGGGGCCGGGCATGGTAGCTCACGCCTGTAATCCCAGCACTTTGGGAGGCTGAGGCCCGTGGATCACGAGGTCAAGAGATTGAGATCATCCTGGCCAACATGGTGAAACCCCATCTCTACTAAAAATACAAAAATTAGCTGGGTGTGGTAGTACGTGCCTTTAGTCCCAGCTACTCAGGAGGCTGAGGCAGAATTGCTTGAACTCAGGAGGCGGAGGTTGCAGTGAGCCGAGACTGCACTACTGCACTCCAGCCTGGCGGCAGAGCCCGACTCTGTCTCAAAACAACAACAACAACAACAAAAAAAACAGTGAAAAGGAGGAGGACTTCCCTGACCACCGGTCTAGAGGATGGCTTACCCCCTCCCCACCAGTCACTACCACTACCTTTATTTTTTTTGAGATGGAGTTTCGCTCTGTGGGCCAGGCTGGAGTGCAGTGGCGATCTCTTATATCCAGGGCAACACAGTGAGACTCCATCTCAAACAAACAAACAAAAAAAAGAACAAGGGTATAGAGAAGTAGTCAGGCAATACACAGTCAGCCCAAAGAGACAGCAGGTATTCACGACCAGAGGCTGATGCATTTAAAAGCCGTTTCCTGAATGAGGCTATAATAAGCCAGGTAGATGTCCTTAGATCATGTTCCCAGCTTCAGAGGGGCCCTAGCCACATTATCCCAAAGTTCACTTTCATTATCTAAAGTGCTTGCTCACTCCAGGGCTCAGTGGAAGCTTGATGCAGAAGACACTTTTTGTTTCAGTTCTTTGAAAAATATTTGTCAGAAGCCATCTCTCCCTAGGGGATTGAACAATCCAAATTACTTCCCCTTTTCAGGGAATATTAGTGTTTTCTAGATATAAATTGCATTTTTTTTTGAGACAGAGTCTCACTCTGTTGCCTAGGCTCATGTGTAGTGGTACGATCTTGGCTCACTGCAACCTCCACCTCTGGGGTCCAAGTGATTCTCCTGCCTCAAGCCCGAGTAGCTGGGATTACAGGGGTGTGCCAGCACGCCCCACTAATTTTTGTACTTTTCGTAGAGACTGGGTTTCACCATGTTGACCAGGTTGGTCTCAAACTCCTGACCTCAAAAGTGATCGGCTCACCTTGGCCTCCCCAAGTGCTGGGATTACAAGCATGAGCTACTACGCTTGGCTGATGTGAATTGAGTATTATACTTTGAAAAGCCTTAACAGCACGTGCCTATTTTGCTGAGCCCCAGGGCCAAGTGTGCAGTTTGAGATACTGAGAGAGAAGTGGGGGAAAATCAGGACCTTGGGTGAATGACTAAGGGAATTGAGGCTCTTTAATCTGGGAAACTTGAGTGGGGAGGCTCGCCAAATTCCTAAAGGAGAGGGACCTGCAGGAGAGCTAAGACATCCTCCATCCAGGTGACTGGCATGAAATCACCAAGATTTCGTTCATAGAAGAAACTTCTTGTGCTTAGCCCATAGCACCGTTTTAAACAGCTAGATGATACTACATTAGTGGCCACTATATAAGTGCCCACTGTATTAGTTCAGGTAGGTTCTGAGTAGATCTGAGTGAAGCAAAACAGACTTGAATTCAAATTCTAGCTCCTTATTTATATGGGCCATATGAGTTCAGGCAAGTATCTTAATACCTATTCTTTTTTTTTTTTTTTTTTTTTTTTTGAGACAAGGTTTCATCACGTTGGCCAGGCTGGTTTTGAACTCCTGACCTTGGGTAATCCACCTGCCTCCACCTCCCAAAGTGCTGGGATTACAGGTGTGAGCCACTGCGGTGCCTGACCCCGTTAAAAAAAAAAAAAAAAAGGGATCTCATTCCGTCACCCATGTTGGAGTGCAGTGGCCCAATCACAGCTCACCGCAGCCTCAAACTCCTGGGCTTAAGTGATCCTCCAGCCTTAGCCTTGGAGTAGCTGGGATTACAGGCACAAGCCACAGCCCACTCAGTTTCTTTACCTAGGGCATCTCACTTTCATGTGTGTGTATACAAAAATTAAGAGATTGAGGCCGGGCATAGTGGCTCATGCCTGTAATCCTACACTTTGGTAGGCCGAAGCAGGCAAATCACAAAGTCAGGACATCGAGACCATCCTGGCCAACATGGTGAAACCCTGTCTCTGCTAAAAAAAATACAAAAAATTAGTTGGGCATAGTGGTACATGCCTGTAGTTCCAGCTACTCGGGAGACTGAGGCAGGGGAATTGCTTGAACCTGGGAGACAGAGGCTGCAGTGAGCCAAGATTGTGCCACTGCACTCCAGCCTGGTGACAGAGTGAGACTCTGCCTAAAAAAAGAAAAGAAAAGAAAAAAACACACACACCAAAGAGATTGAATGTAGCACAGACCCAGGCACACTCAGCCAAACTTGGTTTCCTACTGTTGAAGACCTTGGTTTTTGAAGTTTGGTCTGCACTTAGTGTATTGTCATTTCAGTATGGCAGAAATGTATTAACAGCTAGTTTAAGCAAAAAGAGGAATTTACTAGCTTACATAATAGGGAAGTCTAGAGGTGGTCTTAGTTTGACATGATCGGAGCTACCATCTCATAGCTGCTTCTCTGTGCTGGGTGCATGCTGCAGTCATGTTCTTTCCTCACTGAGAGAGGGAAGAGGGGAGTTGCCAGTTCCTCAAGGTTACATTCTCGCCACTTAGCAACTCCAAAGCTTAACTGTTGATGCCAGGGAAGACTGGCCTAGTGTGGGATGCAAAGGCCCCCTTCACCCCGAGTTGAATGGGATACAGAATGGAGTTGGTGAAAGGGACAGGGGTGCAGCGTGCACAGAACTCACAGCTGGCTACTAGAGGGAGAGTGAAAAATGCAAGGCAAAGGAAGAAGCTAGTGACGGCTTTGTCTTCAAGCCTGGGCCCTAAGCCCTGATGGATCAAAGATCAAGAACCCTGTTTCTGCTTAAAAAAACAAAAACAAAAACAATTTTATTTGACAAAAGACAAAAAAGTTATTTACAGTAGTTTTTGCTCAGATAATCCAATGGGACAACTGTGCTTCTCCTCCACCTTTACCTTACAAACAAACCCAAGCAGAGTCTGCCCAACACCCCATTTTACACAAGGGGGGAATGCCAACCAGAATTCAGCAGCATGGCTCCCTCACCCCTCACCACCCTCCATTGCTCAGTGCACTGTGGGGAGGGAAAATCCCACTTCAGCCCAATATACTTCCAGAGTTCTCTACTACAGAAATCCTGCAACAGTTGCATCAGACCTGGGCTCACTGACAGGGCTGGGATGGAAGAGGCTGGGCAAATGGCAGCTTTAGTTAACCTGGAAGCAGCCATGTTTTCTTCCCCACTGGGCCTCAGGAGGGTGAGGATCCCTGATCCCCCTGGGGCGCACGGGGAGAGAGCAAGGGAGAAAGAAGCCAGGAGGAGGCAACACAGAGAGCCTAGGAAACTTGCCCACCTGTAAAGAGCAAAACTCCCTCTCCTTAAACAATCCATTCCCACTGCCTCAGCAAGAGATGGGTGACTCAGAAGTTGGGGAGCCTCTGTGATGGCTTCAGGAATCTTCCCAAAAAGTAAAGAACACGTTACCATCTTTCTCCTGGCTAGGCCCACCCATGTTAAGTCAATATCCAGGAACCCCTTCCCCTTGTGCCTGAGCTGGTGACTTCAGGAAACTAAAGGCTGGGGGTCCTGATCTATCTTTTGGCCCAGTAACAACGTTATTCAGGACAAAAACATTTCAGCTAATAACCTAGAATTAGTGTTTCTTAGCATATATAAAGATGGGGCATTTTGCTGTTCAACACCATCGACAATGAAATAGCAAAGGAGACTGGATGTGGTGGCCCACACCTATAATCCCAGCTCTCTGGGAGGCTGAGGCAGGTGGATAACGAGATAACGAGTTCAACACCAGCCTGACCAAGATGGTGAAACCCCATCTATACTAAAAATATAAAATTAGCTGGGTGTGGTGGCAGGCACCTGTAATCCCAGCTACTTGGGCGGCTAAGGCAGAGAATTGCTTGAACTCAGGAGGCGGAGGTTGCAGTGAGCCAAGATCGCACCACTGTACTCCAGCCTTGGTGACAGTGGGACTCCGTCTCAAAAAAAAAAAAAAAAAAAAAAAAAGGCAAAACAAAAATTGGGGAGAGGAAAGAGCAGACGACCAATTGTCATCTGTTTCACTGGCAAGTTCAGGTCAGGAGCCCCTGCAACTCTAGTTTAAGAGAAAGGTGAAACAAAGACACTCCCAGTTAGCATGCTTCTAACCCTTTTTCAGCCCCAGCCTCCTCTCAAGGCGGTTCCTCGGCAGGACACTATTCCTGCTTTCCCCAAGTAGCCACCATTGTGAAAAAGAGCTGCCCGTTTGGAGGACTTCCTGACCAGCAGATGGCTCACTTCTCTCCAAGTAGGAGGTGATGGGAGCTTCCGATATTCGAGCCCCTCTAATCCAAGTTCCTAAAGGAATTCAAAATTCAGGGTACAGGGCAGTGTTCAAGAACAAAGGGAAAAATATTAAAGAAAAAAGAAAAAAAAATCCATTGCTTCAGTCTAGTTTACTTCCCCCACCCCCCAAAAAAAACTACAATACAAATTAAAAGAAAAAGCAAACACCTTTTCATCTTATCCTTCTCTGCTCGGTGCCTAGGTTTAGTCACATTCTGCTGGACTGCCCCCTGCTGTGGCTTTCTACCCTTCTGTGCCTGTGGCAGAAAAGCCAATGCACTCATACAGTTGTTTTTTTTGCCTTTTTCTGGTAAACCAAAACAACCATTTGAAATTTCACACTACTGCAGAGACTTAGCTGGTCCCCAAAATAAAAATACTCCTTTCTTGCAAAACAATCCCCAGTTACAGTGGTGGGTCCTTCCCAGTTCACCAGAACTCTTATCATGCAGTGCACTCTTGTTCCCCACACCTGGGCTAACTACTGCTGTGAATGTAAACCACAGCAAAAAAGGGAAAAACAAAACAGTTTAGCAAAAATCTAACATTCAACTGGAGTCGGTTCCGGTACATCCACTGGGTTCCTCTTCTTTTGTTCACGCATATGAACTTGGAATGTCCACACCTGGCTTGACAGAAACAGCGCAGGGGTAGCTTGGACCCAACATAGGACTGAACTTGGCAGCTTTCCTGAGCCCTGCCCAGGAAACCAGGCTGGAACAAAGGTGTCCCAGGGATTCTCTGGAGAAGCAGCAGCAGCAGCAGCACCATGCTTGTCTCCGATCTCTTGGTCTCATCACTGAGGGGAGGCCTGGAGAAACGGCAGAGTCAGCAGAGGAGAGGTCCCCCATCACAGTGCAGTGGTGCCAAATGGCATCTTCCTGCTGAAGACCTCTGCACAGAGGAGATGATCCCAATGTTTGGCAGTGATCCATAGAAAACCCTCTGCATGAAAGGGAACCAAAACAGAAACCCAGAACAGCTGGCTTGAGCCTTGAGCACCCCTCTTGGCAGACAGCTACTGGGGATTTTCAGAGACTAAAGGGATGGGAGTGTGCAGTAATGGAAGGGATGGGTCCTGCTGCTTCTGAAGCTCCATCTCGGCAGCCCTCTGTAGCGCCACCTCCACCAGCAGCTGGAAGCTGCTGAAGTCCTCTTTGTCCTGCTCTGGGGGTGTGGGTGGTGGTGTGTTGAAGAGTCCACCTGTGGGGCTTCCGGCCTCAGCCCTGGTCAGCAGGGTGAGTGTGCTACCAGGGGTCACCAGGGGCTTGGGGGATTCCAGCTCCCCTCGTGGGAAGGGAGCTGCTGGCTTTTCCCCCTGGCCTGAGTGGAGAGGCATGGAGCACACAGACAGGGAGAGCACATTGGTGGGGGCTGGGACAGACACAGCCAGCACTGAGGGGCTGCTGCCACGGGGGAGGGCCACATCTGAGGCCTTACCCCCGCGGCGGGAAATGGTAAACTGATTAGGGTCTTTGCCGTCCTTCCGAAGCATGTCTGGGAGAAGCCGCCGGCGGGCATTGATGAACCAGTTACATATCTGGAATAAATATACAAGACTGATCAGTTTGCTCAATCACAAACAGCTATGGGCTGGGCGCAGTGGCTTATACCTGTAATCCCAACATTTTGGGAGGCCAAAACGGGAGGATTGCTTAAGTCCAGGAGTTCAAGACCAGTCTGGGCAACACAGGGGAACCCTGTTTCTACCAAAGAAATTAGCCAGGTGTAGTGGTGCGTCCCTGTGGTCCCAACTACTCAGGAGGCTGAAGTGGGAAGATCACTTGAACCTATGAGGTGTATGCTGCAATGAGCTATGATCACACCACTGGATTCTAGATTGGGCAACAGAACAAGACCCTGTTTCAAAATAAGGCAAAACAAACAGCTATGAAGTACTTACTATTCCCAGGACCCAGGAACACAGCAGAAAACAACACAGGTTCATAGTGCACAAAGAGGGTTAAATAAGAACATACACCAGCCTGGCCAACATGGTGAAACCCTGTCTCTACTAAAAACACAAAAATTAGCTAGGCGTGGTGGCGGGCGCCTGTAATCCCAGCTACTTAGGAGGCTGAGGCAGGAGAACAGCTTGAACCCAAGAGGAGGAGGTTGCAGTGAGCCTAGATTACGCCACTGCACTCCAGCCTGAATGACAAAGCAAGTCTCAAAAAAGCAAGCAAGCAAATAAAAAACCCCATGTGGCTGGAGCTTAGCATGGTAACTGAAGTTTACCTCTTTGCGGGAGGATTTGCTGCTTTTTTTTTTTTTTTTTTGAGACTGAGTCTTACTCTGTTGCCAGGCTAGAGTGCAGTGGCCCAAAGTGCAGAGATTATAGGCCTGAGCCACTGTGCCTGGCCTGGAAGAAAGTCTTTCTTATTTCCGAGCAGTACCAGGACTAGCAGCCTCAGCAGAACATGCATTCAACCAACATCCTCGTCTTTCTTTCTACATGCTGCTGAGAAAGCTACCACTAACTCTGACCCCATTCCCATCTAGCTGATTGTTTAGAAGCATAAAATTTCCCACCATTAAGTAGTATGCATGTGGTTTGGGGGACACCTCTAGTACCCTGCCCCCATCTCTGAACTCTTGCATAGCCCCTAGCTTCGCAGCTCTCCAGTCTAATCTCTTTACTGGTTGTCAGTTCTCTTTTGAAAATGCCACAGCTGTCATTCCTGTTCTAGAAAACTGCCATTTGTCTCTTACTGTCTACAGAATCAAGTCTAGATTCCAGAACCTAAACAATAAGACCCCCCCCTGGCTGGGCACAGTGGCTCACACCTGTAATTCCAGAGCTTTGGGAGGCCAAGGTGGGCAGATCACTTGAGCCCAGGGGTTTGAGACTAGCCTGGGCAACATTGTGAAACCGTATCTCTAAAAAAAATACAATTAGCTGTTGTGATACTGTGTGTCCTATAGTCCCAGCTACCTGGGAGGCTGAGGTGGGAGCATCAGCTGAGGCCAGGGAGGCTGAGGCTGTAGTGAGCCATCATCATGCCAGTGCATTGAGTCATGCTGGGTGCTGTAGCTCACGCCTGCAGTCCCAGTACTTTGGGAGGCCAAGGTGGGTGGATGGTTTTCGCCCAAGAGTTCTATATCAGCCTGGGCAACATGGCAAATCCCAGTCTTTACAAAAAGTATGAAAATTAACTGGGTATGGTGATGCATATCTGTAGACCCAGCTACTTGGGAGGCTGAGGTGAAAGGATGAATTGAGCCCAGGAGGATGAGGCTGCAGTGAGCTGTGACTGTGCCACTATACTCCAGCTTGGGTGACAGCTTGAGAACTTGTCTCAAAAAAAAAAAAAAAAAAAAAAAAAAAGGCCAGCCAGGCTTGGTGGCTCATGCCCGTAATCCCAGCACTTTGGGAGGCTGAGGTAGGCGGATCACAAGGTAAGGAGTTTGAGATCAGCCTGGCCAACACAGTGAAACATCTTCATTATCACTAAAACCACAAAAATTAGCCAGGTGTGGCAGCAGGCACCTGTAGCTACTCGGGTGGCTCAGGCAGGAGTTTGAACCCGGGAGACAGAGGTTGCAGCAAGCTGAGACCATGCCATTGCACTCCAGCCTGGGTGACAGAGTGAGACTCCTCTCAAAAGAAAAAAAAAAAAAAGTCAAGTTAGTTAGAGCTTCTCACCTTCCTGCTGCTCTCCCTTTCAAGGCTTCTCGCTCATTCAAATATTATTTGAGTGCCTGCCTGCTATCAAATAATTTGAGGGCCCAGTTATCGGTGCAGGGATGCCTTTGTGAACTAAACAGATGTGCACTCTACCCTATGGAGCTTACAGTGCACCTAGTCATGGAGACTGACGATCAACAGCTAGGTGAATAACCACCAGTAAGCACCAGAAGGGAAACTGGAATAAAGGGTAATGGGAGGGGTTTATAAAGATAAACTCCCATAGCTAAGGGTTCTGGAAGGCTAAGACGTAAGGGTAAGGAAGAGCCATACAGAAAGCTAAGAACGTTCTAGACAATTCCAAGGAAAGGCCCTGGCCGTGGAGTTCTCATCTGCCCTTTTTCACCTCTATGGTCCTCCAACGCAGCTGAATGAAGGGAGGAAAGGGTTGGCTTAAGGAACCAACAGCAGCAGGGAATGGTAGCTGATGAGCTTACAGGTGGGCAGGGTTATCAGGCCAGAGCACCACGGAAAACCATTAAGTGGTCTATATGGTGGCATGACTGAAATTTCACACTCTAGGTCTTTCTGGTCCTGTGTCTTTTCTCCCAGCCTAGCTAACTACAGCTGGCATCTATTCCACAGGTGACTCAAAGACAGCACCAGGCCTTTGTCCTGTCAGGCTGCAAGGCTCCTGCACACACATGCCAGCAGGCCTCAGTGGATGCTAGCTGAGCCAAATACTGACTAGAGCTGCAGGAAAACCCTAAAGAGAGCAAGGGCTTAGCCAGGCACAGTTGCATGTGCCTATAGTCCCAGATACTTGGGAGACTCAAGAGAGAATTGCTTGAACCCAGGAGGTAGAGGTTGCAGTGAACTGAAATCATACCACCGCACTGTAGCCGACACAAAAAAAAAAAAAAAAAAAAAGGAGGAAGGGCTCAACAACTAGGTGGGATGAAGGGAACAAACTTATTCAAACACCTGTTTTTATGTGTGTGGTTTTTGTTTGTTTGTTTTGAGACAGAGTTTTGCCCCATCACCCAGGCTGGAGTACAGTGGTGTAATCTCAACTCACTGCAACCTCCGCCTTCCGGGTTCAAGCAATTCTCCTGCATCAGCCTCCCGAGTGGCTGCGACTACAGGCGTGTGCCACTATGCCCAGCTAATTTTTTGTATTTTTAGTAGAGATGGGGTTTCACCATGTTAGCCAGGATGGTCTCGATCTCCTGACCTTGTGATCCACCTGCCTTGGCCTCCCAAAGTGCTAGGATTACAGACATGAGCCAGTGTGCCTGGCTTAAACACTTTTGATAGCAGTATCAGGCCAGCCACCTCACTTGCATTATGTTTAATCTGCATTCAAGCCTGGAGGATAGAGGATGGTGTCCCCCACGTACTAGAGAGAACTGAACTCAAAGAGAAGAAAGCCCTTGTCCAGTCACACAACCTCCCAGTACACAGCTGGGATTTAAAACCAGGCCTCTTGGCTTTCGGGCCTTCACTGCTTTGCTGTGCTGTTTTTTGTTTTGTTTTGTTTTTCACCATCTTGGCCAGGCTGGTCTTGAACTCCTGGACTCAAGCAGTGCGCCTCCCTCAGCCTCTCAAAGTGCTGGGATTATAGGTATGAGCCAGTGCGCCTGGCCAGCTTTGCTGTATCTTTCCAGAGGAACAGAGGGGACAGCTGAGTAATAAACATCATAATCTCAATAGCAACCATTTGAACACAAAATATATCAGGTGCTCTTCTGTTTTGTTCTGTTTTTTGAGACAGTCTCACTCTATTGCCCAGGCTGGAGTGCAGTGGTGCGATCTCGACTCACTGCAACCTCTGCTTCCCAGGTTTAAGAGATTCTCCCGCCTCAGCCTCCATAGTAGCTGGGATTACTTACAGGTGCCAACCACCATGCCCAGCTAATTTTTGTATATATATATTTTTAGTAGAGACAGGGTTTCCCCATGTTTGCCAGGTTGGTATCTTAGCTCCTGACTTCAGGTGATCTGCTCACTTTGACCTCCCAAAGTGTTGGGATTACAGGTGTGAGCCACCATGCCTGGCTTCACGTGCTATTCACATTTCATATCTAATTATTCATTCAATCTCAGCCTATCAGACAGGTTTTATGACGATCTCTGTTGAAGAAACAGAGATCAGAGAGATTCAGAAACTTGTTCAAGGTCACAAGTGCAAAAGCTAGGTTTCATCCAGATAGCCTGGTTCTGGGCAGCCACCCCACTGTCAGCTGAAGAAGAGTGAGAGGGAGGCCTCCTTACACAGGAGCTGCACCTGTGGCCTTCTTTCCCTCCCTCCCACAGCTGCCTCCTCCCATAACTGTGCTGCAGGAGTGCACTGCTCCTCTCCACCTCAGTCCTGGATACAGGGGAAAAGTGGTCAGGCCACAGTGACCTGGGTTAGGCAAAGTAAGGAGTGTTGTTGAGCAGGCAGTCTCAGGGATGGGAGCCTGGGCATTCCTTGGCATCTGTGTGGGAACCTAGCCCCTAATGGCACCTCCCATTTTGGCTGAGGATTCAGAGAACAGAAAAACACCCCCTCCACACACTCCCCCACAAGCCTGTCCTGTTCAGAGCATTTGGCAGCCTAGCATCTGTCTGTTTTGTCTTCTTAGCCCAGAAAAATGCACAGCTGAGGGGCTGGGCAAGGCAAGGCAGGGGGACTGAGTGGCTGCCAGTACCCCTTTTGCAGCCCCTTCCAGCTGCCCTGCCTGTGCCTAAGTCAGGAAAAGATCCTGTGATTTGTCCTCACTGAAGGTCCTTGGGGAGATTGTAGGAAGGAAGCCAAGGTGAACTCTGATTTATGTGGCAGAACATAGGCTAGGGGCCTGAAAGCTGTCCTCTTCCAGGAAACAAGGCTCTATCTGAAAGGCTGCTGAGATGAAGGACAAGGGAGGAAT